AGCACTTCAGTCTATAAAACGGATGGGCTGCGGGAGGAGGTGCACTGAACATCCCTGAGCCCAAGAATAATGCCACCTTTGATCTGCAGAAATGAAAAAATGGAGCTTTTCCTTTGCAAGTGGGTTTTAAATATTTCTCCATTAATAGTTAATGCACATGCAGACCAGCAGAGTGACAGCTCCCTGTGATTATGAATTCTGGCTTCGTAACTCTAGTCCAAATAGGAGCTGAACTTTCAAAAGCACGGTGGTTACTTTTGACAAATTAAATTGTCCTACTTAGGAAGGTAGGAGGAATGAAGAGAAAGTAAGTGAGAGAGTGGGAGTGAATCTCCTTGGAGGTAATTTTTATGGGGTGGTGGGGAGCTCTGGAAGGACTCTGTTTGCATTTCTGGGCTGACAATACTGCCAATGTTTATTAGAAAATGCCTACAGGAGGTACTTATTCAGATTTAGAACAAGACAGAGAATGGAAAGAAAAAGACAACAGTATGGTTCACTGTCTCAAAACAAAGAGAAAAGTACATTTAAAATCATGAGTGGTTAATTTTTTAAAATAAGAAATAAGTTAGTCTTATGATGCTACAGCTTAGAATGAATCTATAAACCAAAATCCAAACATAAGACCAGACCACATTTTCCAATTCATAGTGATTTTAAGGTTTCTAAATTATATCAGAGTCCCTCAGTGGTGCCAGGGCTTAATTTGCTCATTTGCTTAATTGGAAGGTTAGTGGTTCAAGCTCACCCAGATCAACATAAAGTAATGACCAAGGGATCTAACTCAGAAATATCAGGTTCTGGAAACCCTATGGAGTGCAGTTCTATTCTGATACACATGAAAGTCATCTTGAGTCGGAGCTGCCTCCTAGACAATTGGACATTATGTCAGATGGTGTTGATGTCTTGTCTGTGGTTAATTTTGTTCTTCCTTTACAAATTCCTTGGGGGTTCTCTTGGCTATGAGTGAAAGAGATCCCACAAGTATCCAGTAGGAGATCTCCTGAGTGTGTAGTCTGGAGTGTTTAACTACTAGTTCTAAATATCGGAGAAAAGAACAGGTAACTTTCTAGCAGAAACCAGAATATATAGGTAACGTCAGGAAAGTAGTATCTAATGTGAAAAGGCTGAACAAGCTTACTGTCACTTACTGCTGTCTTTCTAGATTGTCTCTAGCCCAGCATTTCCACACATGAGCATTGGAATCAATCTGTTATGTTGTTGTTTACCACCAAGTCAGAACCCACCATAGTTGATCCTTCAGGAAACTTTCAGAGGCAGTTCAACCACATGGGAGGAGATTGCCCATCTTTTTCTCATGAACAGCTAGCTTCTGGATTAGAACTGTGAGCCTTTGGGTTGGCAATATAGCTCCTTACCCACTAGGTCACCAGAGTTCCTTTATGAGCAATCTAGGGGTAAGCAATGTGTGAATAAAGGTCTGGCAGTATTATCTGTGCCAATAAAAAAGTTGAATGATGAACTACAATGATCTACAGTTTATTGAAATTTAACGTAAGTTGGCTGAAGTTCTTAAAAGTTTCACCCTTTGATCATATGATTTCCCCCTGCTCACTATTTGATGGTTGGGGGGAGGGGTGTAAAGGAAATGAGAAAGGCGCAGTGAGGATCTGGAATGAGGGGGTAATGGTGGGCATAGTTCAATGGTGATTAATTTTATAAAGCATAAAGAATGGAAATGATTGTATGAAACACAATGTAAATGAAAGTGTAAAACACAAACACAATGTATATGAACTTTGTAAGCAAACTAATATAAAAATTAAAAGAAAGAAAGGTTTCACCCTCATTCATTTTATAATATCAGAGATCTTCATTTCCATCCTCCAACTTTTTACTCAACAACAGTTTGTTCAATACTAACTATGCAAAGACTTTACCTTGACAGTGTAAAGAATATGAATGCAAGATATTTTTCTTAGTGTTATGAAAATTTTTAAAAGAATGAAAACAGTGGCCCTAATTAAAAGTAAAGAATAACAACAATTCATTGTCATCAAGTCAGAATTGACTCATATTTGGATCTCTATTGGGTTTCCAAGACTATAGATCACATGGAAAGAGTTTGCTTATTTTCTCCTGTGGATTTAACTGCAAGAAAGGTGGGACCTGTGGGTTAGCAGCATAACAGCTTACATACTACACCACCAGTTCTGTTGTTGTTAGGTGCTGTGGAATGGATTCCAACTCATAGCAACCTTTTTAACAACAGAGGGGAAGTCTGCCTGATATCTGCCTTGCTTGAACATCTTGTTACAGTAACTGTGACAATCCATTTCATTGAAAGTCTTCCTCTTTTTGCACTGACTCTTGACCTTTGGCTGTCCATAGGAGCTCAGTTTGCACAATGTCTGAGAATAAAGAGTTAGGGCTTTGACTCAAGGAGGTTGTAAATACAGGTGGGAAAATTAGTAAATATAATGGGCATTGCTGGCCTTGTGGCAAGAAGCTGTGATGCAAACCTTATGGAACAAGGTTCATAGAGTCAGCTACGGGTTGGTTCTGACTCGATGGTATATAACAACAAAACCAACAACAACAATGTAAATTTGCCAAGGAAATATATTTAGCAGATAGAATAAAATGCGATTGATTGGGCAGACTGAAAAATGCACTATTAGTACCAAGAAAAAAGGAAAAAAGAGGTTCTTCCTTAGGTATTATAATTGACCATTAAGGAAGCTTATACTAGGCTAGAGGGAAACTTGACAGACAAGCACTGCATCCCACCACACAGTGAGGAATTTGCAATAGGCTGGATCCTCTTGAATTGTTGAGATGATTGAGGAACATGAATTACAATGGAGGAGATAGTCCCACAAGTTAGCAAAACATTATTTGGTCTTAAATATTGTTGGTCCTAATCATGACAAATGCTGATTAAACCTTTTTTCGTGGTCTTTTCTGGGGTCAGGAGGATGAAGGTAACCTCCAACAGTACTGAAAGTAGTTTAACATTTCCAGAGGTCTTTATGATCTCTAGGTTTTAATTTTTCCCTACCCCAAGTATCTATTCAACAGAATTCCTTAGAAAAATAAAGATTTATTAGATGGAAAGGAGGAGATGTTGAAAATGTTGAACAAATGGATTGAGCTACGGTGAGCACCTAAAACCAGAGGGACGATGACTTGACATAAGCCATAAACAAGGACCTTCTCAAGGAAAGTGTGTGGAAAAATACTTTAACCCAGAAGTACTCCGTGGGCGGAACAATGAATGGTCTGCAATCTGCCAGAAGGGGAGTTCTCAGGCAGAGCACTTACTTGGAAACTATGAGAAAAAAGAAGACTGCATTTTTCGCTGTTGTTTCATGATTTCCTATTAATTGTGATGTAAATTATGCGGATGTGAGTTTGACAAAGAATAGCATTGTTTTTAAGGAAAAAAGCAGCTTATGGTGAAAATATGAAATGAATTAAGAAAAAAAAATATGTTATTTGACATTACGAGCTCAGTGAAGTCTAAGATTGTCTTATGACTAAGTAATCTTTTGTTTTTATATTACTTCTTTGAGTAAAATTTAAAGGCCTAAGTTATAATAATTAAACAAATGTTGTTTCATCATTAAATTAAGATAAATTTCTTTCATTTTTTTCTAAATATAATGGTTGAGTTTATTCTAAAACAGAAGTCTTCAAACTTTAGTTCCTTTAGGATGAGATTATTACTCTGTGTTATGCTAGAGGATAGAATAGATAGCTTTGTTATTAATGTGCACAGCTATCCATACTGAAAACAGCTAATATTCAACAGACTCGATTAATGTTGGAACGAATTTTCTACAGAGTGAAATGTTCCCTTATTTGCTGAGTCCCTGAAGAATTTACATCTTTTCTTAACTAAGATAGTTCCCAGGGGACATTAATTAAAGCCAATCAGACCTTTGAATAGTACACATATCTCAGGTTAGAAGAGGTAAAAGCTAGGATAGTATATGGAAGAAAACTTAACCTCAAAGAATCAAATTGTAGAAAAGTGAAACAACTTTTATTTGACCTTGAATGTACTTCTTATTCTGTAAGAAATTTTAAAAAGCTAGAGGGTAGTTGTTTCTTGTCATTATACTGTTGCTGATTCTGTGGTTAGTTATTAATTTTATTTTTTATGATTCACAATCTGCTCTTTGAAATATGCCATATGCTCAAAGCAATTCAAGGATGACAACTGTCAGAATTACTCCAATAAAAATTGCCTAAATGAGGAAGATTTACTGCACTCTGATATTTCAGTGGAAAGTCCCTCTTCCCTCCCCCGACAGGTTTTTCAAGCACTGTGAAGCTTGCAGTCATTTTTCAGTCAAAATCACATGGCTGTTTTGCAGGAACTTCTAAGACTATTTGTTAAGTGGAATTGGTAAAACACACTAGGCTAAGGGTGAATTAGCAGACACGGAAAACAATATAGATATTTATTAGATGGATTGCCTGCAATCAATATGTGAGGTCCAAGCCAGTTTTCTTAAATCACACGCAAATGTATTGACTTAATATGACAATGTCTGCTTTATGTATCACTAATAAACATTAAATTGGATGAGTACTGTAGCCTGGTAGCAGCAAGCCAAATAGAAAGCACATTTCTTTTTTTTCTAAGGGAAGATCTGAGAAGTGGATAAAATCCACTGAGTGCTCCAATCAAAATGCATTTTGTTTAATGTTACCAGTCCATTTAGCCTTTGTTTTGTTTTAGTCTATTTATTAGTGCAGTTTTATTTGCTGTTATTCATCTTGAAGATAAATCTTTGTCCTTCCAAAGAATTACACCAAATAGAATGTGATAAAGGGAACTTTCTTGCAATTATGATGTTGGTGCAGCCTGTCAGCACACATGGGATGGAAATGAGTTTGGGGACAGGGAAGGGAATTCTAATAGACACCGTGATACGTACAATGAACACAAAGATATCCTGAGAGAGAGAGACTTGTCAGGCTAATCAGATCTTCTCCAGCAAGGTAAAGGCGGGAAGGGTAGCGCTAACCTTGTAAAGATGCTGCTGCTGCTCCTCTGACATCATCAGGTCATGACTGTCCATCACAAGGGACTCCATGTCAATCAGCCAATCCCAGAGCTCCTGATATTCTGAATCAAAGTCCAGAAGCCTGTAGATAAGGCACAAAAGGTATTATGCATAAATACAGTGGAGGTGTTAAAAAATCTCATATTAAAAGAATAGATCCTTCAAAATTCATGATGTGCCTAGGTAATACCTGTAGAGAGGGAAGGGAAAGATTTTTTGTGAAGTTACACAGTGGGCAAAAGACAACTTGGGTCAAACACACAGTCACTGCTTGGATTATAAAAATATGAAGTGTGGTTCCGGTATTAATATTTTAGATAAATCATGGTAATTTTCATTTCTTAAATCTGAGAAGCCATAGATCATTAACAAAATAATAACCACTGTGTCCTTAAAAAAAAAAAGAGGTCATGGTCATACTTAAAAGACTAAAAAAATGGAGGTTCAGTAACCTGTGGAAGGTTACATAAGCCAGAATTTTGAGTGGGAGGGAAAAATTTAAAAACTCAAACTCATTACCATAACATTGATCTCAACTTCCAGTGACTCTGATAATCAGAGCAGAACTGCTCAGAATTTCCAAAGTTGTAAATTATCATAGATGCATACTGCTACATGATTCTCCCAAGGAGAAGTTGGGGGGCTCAGACATTTCAGTTAACAATTTAGCATCTCAACCAATGCACTCCTTAGGAACTTCAAAATGTGAATGTTGTGTTGGCTGAGATTCATAGAAATTCTATGAACAACAGATCTGAGCCTACTCTGCACCATCCTAACCTTCCCTGATATGCTAAAGCCTTTTGTTACAGTCACAGTATCAATTCATCTTACTGAGGATTTTCCTCTTTCTCTGACTCTCCCACTCTCCCCACCATGATGTCTTTTTTTCCAAGGACTGGCCTCTCCTAACAGCATGCCCAAACAAAGTATGTGAGTTTCACCATCCTGGTCTCGAAGGAGCACCTTGGTTGCACTTCCTCCAAGACAGACTTGTTTGCTCCTCTGGCAGTCTGCTGTGAAGTGCTCTCTTGCCTATTGGCTTTCCCATAAACATTGCAACTTCATAGATTTATGACTATGTATACTGTGTTTAACCCATTTCCCCTCAGTGCTCACAATGTGCTATCATACTATTTTCACTGAGAAATGATGCCGTCATCTGTCTTTCTGTTGTCAATAGTCTATCTCTGAAAACATATATCCTACACTTATTGTCATAAATGAGTAGCTAGCATTTCAGTTTAACACCTCGAGTTAGGCTTGAGTGACTCTGGTAAGCTAACAAGAACCAGAGGCAGATCCAGTATTAGACAGGTGTTCCCCACAGACATGTAGGAAACAAAGGTAAGGACAGGAAGTCAAAACAATGAATCCTTGAATAGCCAGCAATCATTAAAATTCAAAGGAGGCTCACTATGGTTTTCAACAAAATAAATCATTAGAATAAGGAGCTTAAAAGGATTAATGTGATTCTCTATTGAAAGCCTGGTGAATAAGTAAAGCACAGATTTGTCTACAATACTGTGATCAGAAAATGAAAGTGCAGAATGGAAAAGTATGACTTTGTCCTTCCCCTCCAAAAATCACCTCCTAAAAAAAGAAAAATCCTTGAGTCTTGTCAAACTACAACTGAACAACACCCTGTCAGTACTAATGAAGCCGCAGCCTCAGGGGTGAACCTGGATTGATCAAGTGAGGACCTTATTACTACCTTGTTCCTGTCGCCTGCTAACTATTAAATGACTGCTTTCCAAAGAAATGAACATCCCCTTTTAATAACGTACAACTTAATTTTAATAGATATGTCAAAAAAAATTTAAGGAGTGTCTGGTGATGAGGAAGACTATTTAATTTTAATTAATTGTCCATGATTGTTAAGATCCTTCATTAGGACCATACACACCCTAGGGCAAGAAATATCATTGGCTAACATGTGGAAATGATTAACAAATATTTACTGAATGCCAGTGATGGGCACATATAGTTGATACAACCAAAATATCCAGTAAAAAGTTGTTACTTCTCAAACTTGAAAGTATATAAAGAACAGTTTTGGATCCTATTGACATGTAGACACTAAACTCAGCACTTCTACAGTAGACTCTTGTGGCCTACTTTGTAGAGAGCTGCATTGTTAATCTAAAAAAAATCAAGTTCATGGGCAATTTTCTTGCATGTGATTTACAGCCTTGGAAACTCAGTGGAAGGCCAGGTATGAGTTGTTTCTAACTTCACAGCAATGAGTTTTATTTGGGGGATTTTTTGTTATTGTTGCTGTTTTATTTTTAGGGTACAATCTGTGATTCTACTAAATGTTGCCAAAATTTCTAGCCCATGGACCACATTTTGGGTGGCAAAGACTTAAACTGTATATGTGAAATCAGACCTCATTTCAAAATAGTAAGAAACAAACCAAGTACTGTCAAGAGAATAAATTACCCATTTTGGCTTTCCTTATTTATTAACTGTCAGTGATTAATAAGAAACCTAAACCAAACTCACTGCTGTTGTGTTTGACCGTAGCAGTTCCTCACGGGGTTTCTGGGGGTATGAATCTTCATAGCAGGAGACCGCCCATCTTTCTCCCAAGGAACAGTGGTTGGATTTGAAGTGCCAAGCTTTTCGTTTTCAGTCCTACCATGCTACCATTATGTGGCCAGGACTCCTTATGAATGGCAAATAAAGGATAGCCAATAAGCATTTTCTTACTTGATAAGCACCTGGTGAATTATGATCCCCATTTCTCTCTCCTTGTGCCTCTCCATGTTTTAACTACATTCATGATGGAATGACGTGCCAAGCACAGGCAATGTAAGAGAGTGTTAAAAGCAAAGGGAAAATCCTGAGCTTTCTACCCCAGTGAATCTGGGAAATAAGAAGGGAATAAAATAAAGGTGGGAAGACCAGGTACTCCGATGAAGTCATTACTTCCCTTATTGACTTAAGTCGCAGAGGGGAGGCATGTGAGGCTGGCTAAGTAAAGAACACGGCATAAGATATTTAGCTTCATTTGCCCACCAGGAACTCTAGGAAAGCACTGAGATAGTCTGCCCATAACCTGGGGTAGGATATTTCAGTCTGGAGAGAGTTTTTAGTTAAGATTCCCTTTGCAAGCCTGTTCTTCCATGTTCCCAAAAGGAGATTTTAAATTTCCTGAGAGTCCAGCAGGTGAACTTGACTGAGGGTATTGTCATGGCAACAGAGGCACAGAGATTCCAAGGAGAGCCAGGTGGGCCTCGGAAGCAAGACTCAAAGGGTTTGACAGGGTCAGTGAGGGCTGAGATAACGCTGAGTCAGCATAAAAATACCACTTGCGCCTCAGCAAGCTGAGAAATAACAACATAAACTCCGCCAACTATAGCCTTCCCTGTGGGCAACGTAGTAATCTCAGGGTAAGATCAAGTCCATTCCAGTAGAGTCAGCCAAATTGTACTCAAGAACAATGAAAAGATAGGGGAAACCCTTTGCACCTCAAGATCATGGAGTCATATAAAGTCAGATGTTATTTTGGAGATGGGAGAATGATAGAAAACCTGAATGAGGATTTATCCTAAGATACTATTTCCTGAAGAGAATACTAATATATTAGGTAGGTTGTAAGCATTTTGTAGAAGAAGACTGACTTCTATCTTAAAGCAACCTTTTTGCTTAGAGGAAAGTGTATGTGTGTGTGACACCCTACAAAATTATTAATCATGGAGCGAAAATAAAGAAGCTAATTTTCTATATTGTTTCATAACAAAACAAAGTTTTGTAATAAATGTGAGAACCACTCTCTTTTTACCGCAGATTTTTGCTATATCAACTATATATTGTTTTGGTTTTGTGCTATCAAGTTGGACCCACTCACAGCTGACTCTCCAGTAGGTTTTTGAGACTGTAAATTACTTTCCTTCCTCCTCCTTCCTTCCCCCTTCCGTCATTCACTTTCTTTCTTTTAAATATTCATTCCTTGGTGCAAAATTTCCCCTCTCTCCCCCTTCTTTTCACCCTCCCTCAGGCCTCTCTGCAATGTACCTCTTATTCGGGATAGTTGTCTTACATATAATACCGAATCTTATATTCCTTTTAAACAGTTCTTTCTCCAATCTGTTCTAATACAATGTTCATTATCTATCCATTCTTTTTCTACTCTCCTTCCAACCCCTCATGTCAGTCCTGCTTCATAACAGTGGTGATATGCAGTATTTGTCCTTTTGAGACTGAGATATTTCACCCAGCATAATGTCCTCCAGGGTCACCCATGTTGTGTAATGTTTTACGAGGTTATTATTTTTTCAGTACTGCATAGTATTCCAGTGTGTGAATATACCATAGTTTTTCTATCCATTTGTTTCTTGATGGGCACTTGGGTTGATTCCATCTCTTCGATATTCTGAGTAATGCAACAATAAACATGGGTGCTCATATATCTGTTTAGATGGCTGTTCTGGTTTCTTTAGGGTATATTTGCAGTGGTGCAATTGCTGGGTCAAATGGTATTTCTCTTTCAAACTTTTTTGAGAAATCACCAAACTGCCTTCCAAAGTGGATGAACCATTTTACACTTCCTCCAGCAGTGAATAAGGGTTCCAATCTCTCCACAACCTCGCAAACATTTGTTGTTTGCTGCTCTGTCGAACTTTGCTATTGTTGCTGAGCAAAAACTATTATTTGGAGAGGGATATCATGCTTGGAAAGGTGGAGGTTCAGCAAAAGAGAGAAAGACCTTTGATGAGATGAATATACATAGTGACTGCAGCAATGGACTCAAGGTATCAGAGATGTTGAGTATGGCACAGGATAGGACAAGGTTCAGATCTGTTGTTCATAGGGTCACTATGAGTCATACTCATCTCAATGGCACCTAACAACAACATCATATATACATATACATGAATGTTGTTGTGTGCCAACTCATAGCTGACCTTCAAGAGGGTTTTCAGAGTCAGAACATTGCGTGGATCGATGATATTGTATGTGCAGGACAAGGTAAGGTTCATATCTATTGTTCATGTGTATGTGTGTGTGTGTGTGTGTGTACTAAACCACCAACCCATGGCCATGTGAGTCAGAACTGAATCACAGTTCATCTTTCTC